GGGGGGGGGGGGGCGTCGCCGCGCTGTCGCGCGGCGTCCGCGCGGGCTCACTCCGCGGAGAAGAAGGACGCCTTCGGCGGCCAGGTGAGCGGCACCTGCATGAGGACGCCGAACTCCTCGGCCCAGTTGACGGAGATGCGCGCGTGCACGCGGCCCTGGCGGTTGAAGAACGTGCGGTCCGTGCCCGTGCTCGGGTGCGTGTAGACCGCGTTGTGCCAGACGCCCGGGTGGATGTAGCAGCCCTTGCCCGCGGGCACGTAAAAGGCCGTGAAGTCGCTCGGCTTCACGTCGTCGCCGAGCGGCGGCGCGAGGTTCGTCACGAACGGCTGGCCGTCCTCGGGGAAGAAGAGCTGGCCGCCGTCCGGGTGGTAGTCGCTGTACCACAGCCGGACCGTCTCCGGCGACTCCGCCGGGCCCTCGCCGCGCCGCGCCTTGACGCAGGCCGTGGGCTCCTTCCCGTAGCCCAGCAGGTAGTGGTTCGACGTCGTCCTACGACATGCGTCGGTGACGACGCTTCGTCGTTTTCTCCCTCTCTCGAAAAGTCGTCGCGGGACGCCGGCGGAGACGCGATCGAGTGGTTCTTCCCGTAGAGCAAGTCGCCGTCCCAGTAAATGTCGAATTTGCCCTCGCAGGTGCCCGCCTCGTCGCCGCAGCCCGGGTCCATCTTGCGCCAGCCGCTCGTGGGCCAGGTGGCGATCTCGAAGGTCCTCTTCTCGACCGTGAAGTCCTCGGGGTCGTCGACGACGACGCCCATGCCCTTGAGGTTCTCATTCGTCGCGAGTTTCATCGGAACCTGGTGCAGCTTGAGGCCCTGGCAGAGCTGGGGGTTCGTGTACTTCTGCTTGGACGTCATGGTCGACGGCGGCGGCGGGGCAGCGTAGGATCGGCGGGGAAGGCAGCCTTCTTTCGCCCAAAACCAAGCGTGCAACATAGGACGGCGGCGGCGAGCCGCCGGCGCCCGTGCCCCTCGCGAGCCTCGAACAGGCGAACCTCGTCGCCGCCGAGCCCGCCCTCGCCGTCGGCGCGCGCGTCCGCGTCGCGGGGCTCGTCAAGGCCGCGGACCTCAACGGGTGCCTCGGCGCGGTCGTCGCCTTGCCCAAGCGGGGCGGCGAGCGCTACGGCATCCGCCTCGAGGGCGGCGACGTCGACGGCCGGACGATCGCCTGCCGCGCCGAGAAGGTGGCGTAATCCACGGCTAAGATGCGCACACTGCCGCGGGCTAGCTCGACGGCGCCAAAAATGCCGTCCTTCACTTCCGCCCCGGGCAACGTTTTTTCAACGACTTTGCCCGTCCATCGACCGCCAGCAGCTTCCGACTGTTCCGCCCGCGCCCTGCCGCTCCAGACTCCGCACGACCGCACAGACGACCGCAGACCACACATACCACTCACCCTCGACCATGAAACTGCTCCGCAGCGCCGGCGTCGGCGGCGCCAGCCCGGCCGTCGCCGCGGCCAACGGCGCGCCGGCGGCGGCCCCGGAGACTGCGACGGAGTTCCGCGCCGCCGCGGCTCAGTTCGCCGCGCAGAAACAAGCCGAGCGCGCCGACTTCGAGCGCACGAAGGCGGAATTCGAGGCGAATCAGCTCCTGCTCACGCAGCAAGAAGAAGCCTCGCGCGCGCGCGCGGAAGAGATCGACGCCGAGACGGCCAACGCCGAGAAGATCAAGCGCTTCAAGCGCTGCAAGCGCAAGGCGAAGGACTCGGCGGCCGTCCCGCCGCCGCGGCTCTCGTGCAACCAGCGCACGAAAGACTGCGCGAAGAAATTGCTGGACGCGCGCGTCGCGCTCGGCCACTTCGCACCGCGCAAGAACCCGACGAAGAAGCACGCCTTCCTCGAGGAGCTCAAGTGCCAGCTCGCCGTCGACGGCTCCGGCGGCATCGCCGACTGGTCGTTCTTCAATGTCAAGAGCAACGTCTCGGGCGTCTGCGACCCCTGCCACAACGCGAGGAAGAAGAGTCGACTCGAGACCTCGGCCTCGGACGACGCGGCGACCGACGCCTACAAGCGGGCAGAGACGATCGGGCGCAAGTGTGCGGGGCCGTTCTGCAAAGGCCACAAGTTCACGGTGAAGAGCTACAAGGCCGCAACTCAACAGCACCTAGAGCCCGACGAAAAGCCTCGACGCGACTTCACGTCGCGGGACGGGACCGTCCACAACCAGCCGGTGAGCTGGTCCATGGAGCGCGGCATCGTGAACAAGTTCACGAACGTCAAGGCCGAGAAGACGATCTGGCTCTGTGCTATGTGTAATCAAGTTGACGGCTGCAATCGCGAGATCGCCCAGTCGGACGAGGACGCGCGGAACGGGGTGATTTACCGGGGCATGGACGAGAACAAGGCCAAGACGCCGAAGATGCGCGATGCAATCAAGCAAGCGAAGACTCAGTACAAAAACAGGCAGCAGAACTTCGCCCTCGTCAACGAGATCAAGGCGCGGATCGGCCGGTGCAAGGACTGCGGGCTCAAGGTCACCGCGAAGAACCGCATGGGCATGCACTTCGCCCACCACGAGGCGACGGAGTACCTGAAGTGGCGCTCGCCGTGCGGCAAGGACAGCGGCGTCAGCGGCGCCTGTCGGCATCTCTACCACAAGTCCGCGAAGCCCGTGATCCTCAAGGAGACGAGCGAGGACATGTCGTTCCTCAAGTGCGCGAATTGCCACTTGGTGAACGACACCAACCCGCGTTGGGGGCGATAGGCGCGCGCGGGGCGCCTAAGTCTTTCTGGTCCTCCGACCGAGTCTGGCCGAGGCGGATCAACGGCGCCGTGCCGGCGCCGTCGTTGACGGCACCATAGCCCTCGAGCCTCACTTACTCGAGGGCGACAGGGTGGGCCGCGCGGGGGCGGCGGGGAACAAGGGTGGGTTCACGGCACGTCGTCGGCGCCGTCGTCGGCGGCGGCGGGCGCGAGCGCGACGTCCGCGGGCGGCTCGGCCGGCGGCGCGTCGCCGCCGGCCCGCGGCGGCTCCGGCGGCGGCGGCGGCGGCGGCGGCGCGGGCCGCGCGTCGTCCGCGGGCCGCGCGTCGTCCGCGGGCCGCGCGTCGTCCGGCGCGAGGCCCGCGAGCGCCGCCTCGAGGAGCGCGACCTGGTCCTCGTCGAGCTTCGTGCCGCGGAGCGCGGCGAGCGCCGCGCGCGCGTCGCCGTCGGCCGGCGGCCGCCCCGGCTCCGGGCTCGCGTCGCGGGAGCCGGCCTCCTCGGCGATGGGCTCGCAGCCGTGGCCGAGGGCGCGCGCGTGGCCCGGCGCGAGCGCCGCGCCCCGGTCGGGAGTGCGGGACACGGCGCGCGCGTTGCGGAGCTCCGCGGGGCTCGCGCGGTCCGGCGACGCGGACACGGCCCAGGCCTTGCCGAACTGCTTCCGCTCGCCCTTGGCGCTGAGGGAGCGGCGCACGGCCGGCCGCGGCCGCGCCGGGCCCTCGTCGCGCAGGTCCGACGCGACGCGCTTCGCGAGCTTCGTGCGCGGGGACACGGAGTGGCGCGGCTCGAACGCGTGGCCCCGCTTCCGCTCGGGCAGCTCGAGCTCCGCGCCGTACTGGCGGATCTCCTTGGCGAGCTTGATGATGCCGTAGTAGACCTTGGCCTTGGAGATCTGGTACGTGTCGTTGGGGTTGTCCTCGCAGACCGCGTTCAGCGCGTCGCGCGTGAGCGCGTAGACCTCCGTGAACTTCAATGAGATCGCGCGCGGCGGCGGGTCCTCGTCCGCGGTCAGGAAGTCGAGGAAGATGGGCTGGCCCCGCATGTGGAGGTGGCCCTTGCAGCCGACGTAGCCGTGGTTCGCGATGATCATGAGCGTCTTCCGCTGCATGATGACCTCGTCCGGCGCGAAGAGGAGGTGCGTGAGCCGCTCGAAGATGCCCAGCCGTAGGAGCTGGCTCACGTCCCGGAAGTAGGGCACGACGTTCAGCCGCGACGCGAAGACGTTCTCGCAGACCTTGCACCGTAATTCGGGTGACAGGTGCTGGATCAAACTGCTGTACTCCAGCCGCCGCTCGATCTCGACGGAGTTGAGCAGGAACTCGCGCGTGTCGCGGCAGAGCGACTTGTCCACGCCCAGATCCAGGAGCATCCAGTTGATCTGGTCGTAGGTCTGGTTGTACTGGATCTTCTTCACGTCGAGCGTCGTCACGGCCTGCGTCACCGCGCCGATGATCCACGCCCACATGAGCCCGCCGTAGAGCATCATCACGCTCACGACCGCGCGCTCCGCGACGTTGTGCGCGTGGACGTCGCCGTAGCCCACGGTCGTGAGCGTCGTCAGCGTGAAGTAGAGGCACAGCAGGTACTGGACCTTCGTGTCCTCGATGTCCCAGGTCACGTGGTTCCGCCGCCGGCCGCCGTCGTAGTCGTCGTCGTCGTCGTCGCGCAGGAACGTCGCCATCCACGAGTTCTCCTTGCCCCCGATGAGATTCCCCGCGTAGCCCCAGAGGCACGCGAGCCAGTGGCTCGCCAGGATCGTCACGACGAGGAACCCGATGAGGTTCGCGCCCGTGATCGACAGCGTCATCGACGCGCGGTACCGCATGATGAGCCGGCTCCCCCGGAGCATGCGCAGCAGCTTCACGAGGCGCAGCAGCCGCAACAGCCGCACGACCTGGAGCTCCTGGAAGATCGCGATGTCCGTGAAGGAGAGCGCGCCAAAGGGGATGATCGAGATGAAATCGAGGAAGAACGCGCCCTGCACGTAGCGGAGGATGATCTTCCGGTGGCTCCGGATCCAGATGGACCCCTGGGCCTTGGGGAGCTGGACGTGGAGGAAGAACTGGAGGATCATGTCCACGAAGAACACGAAGTTGATGACCTGGTTGATGCAGAAGAGCGCGTCGACGCGGACCGCGTCGTCGCCCTTGGAGAACGCGACCTCCGCGGGCGGCACGAGGGCCGTGTAGACGAGCGCGACGCAGATGACGGCGTCCCACCACTGGGCGTACTGGTTCTTGAGCGGGTCGATGGTCAGGTTGCGCCCGTACTTGTCCTTGGTCAGCTTCCGCATCTGGAAGATCGTCGCGTTGATCGCGTCGCTCGTCCCCATCGTCGGCAGCGACGGCCGCCGCGTGGGCGTCTTGCGGCCCGCCAGCTCCACGCCCGGCCCGTCGGGCGCGCCGCAGTCCTTCGTCTCGCCCGGGGTCACGTCGCCCTTGAGGGCCGCGGCCTCGTCGTCGTCGGCGGGCCGCGTCACCTCGACCTTGGGCGTGCCAAAGTAGCTCATGGCCGCGTCGAGCGGCCTCGGGCCGCGCGGGCGAGCGGGCCCGCGTCCGGGGGCGCCCGGGCGTCGCTCAGGCGGCCTCAGGACGGCTGCCTCGTCGCAACCATCGCGCGCCCATGCGATTGATTTTTGTAAAGCGGTGCAACTTGGTTGAAAACTTGGCTGGGGCTGCCCAGAATGATGATGATGCCGTGAAGAGGTCGTAGGCGAGGCGGCCATGCGCGCCGGGTTCCTCTCGTCGAGCGGCAAGCCGAAGCTCAAGCCCCTCGCGACGCCGAAGCAGGACCGGGAGGCGCGCGAGCGGAAGCGCCAGGAGAAGCTCGCCCAGGACCGCTGCGAGGCCTACTGGTGCCTCGTCACGCACGGCATCAAGGCCCAGTGCTGGTGGGAGATGCAGCTCGAGGCGTCCGAGGGCCTCAAGGCGCGCGCCGTGGCGACGATGGCGCGGGACGCGAACGCGGCGACGCGCGTGCAGCGGCGCTGGCGCGGCGCGGACGCGCGGCGCGAGGCGCGCGGCCGCCGGCTGCTCGCGGCGCTGCGGCGGCGCGAGCGGAGCGCCGCCGTGCTCCAGGCGCGCCGGCGCGGCGCCGCGGCGCGGCGCCAGCTCCTCCGGGACCGCGAGGCCGACCGCGCGCGCGCGGCCGTCGCGCTCCTCGACGCGTGGCGCGACGGCCACGCGCCGCTCGCGCGGCGCCAGGCCTGCTGGGACGCGCTCTGCGCGGACCGCGGCGCCTGCGACCTGCGCGCGGCGACGGCGCGCCTCGCGGGCGCCCGCGCCGAGGCCGCGCGGTGGCGCGCGGACCCGCCGCGGTCGCCCGCGGCGCGCCGCGCGGCCGTCGCCGCGGAGCGCAAGCAGGTCTACGCGTTCCTCAAGGCGTCGGACGCCCGCGCCGTGGAGCAGGTCGCCCGGGCCTTCGGGCTGCGCGGCGCGAAGCGGCGGAAGCGCCGCGTCGTCAAGGCGCTCTTCGAGGACGCGGCCGTGGCGGCCGCGTCCGCGGCCGTCGTCCGCCGCGCGCGCCACGACGGCGAGCCCGACGCCTACTTCGTCGACGGCGCCCACAGCCCCAGGTGGGAGCCGTACCGCGCCTTCGACGGGTAAGGCGTGGGGCCGCGGCGCCGGGGACGCGTACGCGGCGCGTCGGCGGCGCGCGCGCGATATCGATCGCGGCGACGACGACGGTCGATTTCGCCTCACAGCCCCAACCTAGACTTCGCGACGCGACGCGACGATGATCCTGCGCGTGCGCAGCGACCAGGGCACCTGGCGCATCACGGTAACGGGACCGGAGAGCACGGTCGCCGCCGTCAAGGGCGTCATCGCGGCGGAGAAGCAGGTCGCCGTGGCGAGGCAGAAGCTGTCGTCGGACCCGCAGGGCACGGCGGAGCTCGACGACGGCGGGACGCTCGCGTCCCAGGGCCTGTCGGCGAACGGGTCCATGCTCTACCTGACCGTCGCCGACGACGAGCCGGCGCCGCCGGCCGCCGCGGCCGCGCCCGCCGCGCCCGCGCCGCGGCCGCCCGTCGCGCCGTCGGCTTTGTCGAGCGCCGGGGAGCGGTTCCTCGGCGGCGACGGCCAGGGCGCGACGGACGCGGACGACGAGGCGGCCATCGCGCGGGCCATCGCCGAGGCCCAGGCCGAGTTCGAGGCCGAGGGCGCGCCCGCGTCGCCGACGGTGCGCGCGCCGGACGCGTCGACGCGCGAGGCGCTCGTCGGCCCGGCCGCGGGCGACTTCTACGGGGGCAACGAGGACCTCCCGGCGCTCATCGCCGACCTCCTGGGCGGCGTCGACGCGCCGGCCGTCGACCACGCGGCGCTCGCGGGCGTCGACGACGACGGCGGCTCCGACGACGACCTCGCGCTCGCGCGGCGCCTCCAGGCCGCCGAGGCCAACGGCGACGCGGAAATCGACCCAGACGAGGACCCGGACGAGGCCCTGGCGCGGCGCCTCAACGCCGCCAACGACGACACGGACAGCGGCGACGCCGCGCTCGCGCGCATGGTCGCGGCGCGCGACGCGGAGCAGGAGCGCGCGGCGCGCGCGCGGCGCGCGCTGGGCCTCGGCGGGCCGCGCATCCCCCGGGACCGCGGCGGCGCCGACGCCGCGCGCCAGATCCTCGGCGACCTCCTCGGCGGCGGCGCGGCGGGCGGGCTCGGCGGCGGCGGCGGCCTCGGGGGCGGCGGCGGCGACGACGACGACGAGCAGCTCCAGCGGGCGCTCCTCATGTCGCAGGCCGGCGGCGACGAGATCGCCGCGGGCGCCGACGAGCAGCTCCGACGCGCGCTCGCGATGTCTCGCGGCGACGCGCCGGCCGCGCCGCCGCCGCCCGCGGACGACGACGACGCGCTCGCGCGCGCCCTCGCCCTGAGCCTCGGCGACGGCGACGGCGGGGGCGGCGCGCCGCCGCCGGCGTCGCCGCGCGCGGCGACGCCGCCGGCCGCGGCCTTCGGCGCCGGCGGCGACGACGACGACCCCGCGCTCCAGGCCGCGCTCATGCAGGCGCGGCAGGACGACGTCGACCGCGCGTCGAGCTACGCGCGCCGCCAGGCCGAGGAGGACGCGGAGCTCGCGGAGGCCATCCGCCTCTCCGCGCTCGAGGCCGCGCCGCCGCCGCCGGCCGAGGAGGTCCTCCTCAGCGACGCCGCCGCGCCGGGGTCGAGGCCCCGCCGCGTGCGCCGCGGCGACGACGACGCCGACGTGCCCGCGGCGCGGAGCGCGGCCTCGAGCCGGGCCAAGGCCGACTGAGCCCGCGGTCGATGTTGAATTCAAAAATCTAACACATCTTTTGTTTGATTTTTGGGGCGGCCCGTCGAGACGAGGGCTGGCCGCCAGAGAACGTCGGGAGCATGGGGTGGAACATCTTCCAGAGCGACGAGGAGAAGCTCCACGAGGACGAGGTGGAGAAGTACGTGCAGGAGGCGAAGCACGCGAAGCACGCCGAGTTCGGCCCGTCGGCCCCCGACAACGGCTGCTGCGTCCTGCTGGGCCGCTGCTGCGTCCACCACTGCGTCGCGTGCCGGCGCGGGTGCGTCGATTTCTGCGCGCCCATCGGCGCCTGGTGGGCCGGCGTGCTGCGCTACTGGTGCCCGGACCTCGGGGACCAGTGCTGCGAGCTCGACCCGAACGCGTTCCTGGGCGGGCCGCTCGACCCGCGGTCCCTCAGGGAGCGGCGGCGGGGGCTCTGCTGGGCCGCGCTGATCCTCCTGGCGGCGCTCGCCGTGGCGCTGCCCCTCGCGGGCTACGGCGGCCACCTCGTGGGCGCGTCCAAGGACGTGGACCGCGTCTTCGAGAAGCTCGGGCGCGTCTGCAAGGTCGAGGCCGTCGTGGAGACGTCGCGGATGAAGCGCCTCCTGAAGCCCAGCGTCAAGGTCTACGAGTACGCCATCTCCGTGACGACGGACGACGACGGCGCGACCTACACGAGCGGCCCCGTCGCGAAGGAGCTGGACGTGGACACGCTCCGCAACTGCTGGCGCCCGAAGCGGAACCGGGACCGGGGCGACCTGCCCGACGCCTACAGCGACGAGCAGTGCGGCGACGTCGACTGCGTGGCGCTGCGGGACCCGGGCCGCCGGGCCAACGCGCTCTACTCGCGCGGCTGCTCGCTGCTCATCGTCGCGGCGTGCCTGCTCCTCGCGGCGGGCGCGGGCACCTACCTCTACCTCTGGTACGCGGCCCACCGGAGCCGCGTGGCCTGCCGCACGGACTTCGACACGCTCTTCAAGGCCGGCGCCGACGAGGAGGCCCCGGCGCCGAAGACGAAGGCCGCGTCCGCGTACCTCGAGGGCGCGCTCGGCGCGGCCGAGTCGAAGCGGCCCGACGTCGCGACGGAGCAGCCGGGCGCCTTCACGGACGACCTCGACGACGCCGAGGCGCCGCCGTCGCCGGGGCGCTTCAACGGCGAGCGCGCCGCGGGCGCGAACACCATGGAGGTCGTCGTGCCCGAGGACGCGGAGCCGGGGTCCACGGTCGAGTACCCGACGCCCGACGGCGGCACGACGCTCGTCGACATCCCCGACGGCGCGACGCCGGGCACCGTGCTCAAGGTCGCCTACTAGTAAGGAGGTGCGCCCGCACGTGAAATTCAATGAGGCAGTTTCTGTTTTTATTGATGCCAGAATCCTGCTTCCGATCGCCGCGATGATGGCAGCGTGGCTTATCCAGGGGGGTTCGCGGGGTACCGCCGCGATGATGCTGCCCAAGATCGCCGTGCTCGCCCTCGTCGCCGCCGTTCGCGGAGCTAATCTCACGGGCACGTTCCCGACCTTCGTCGCCGGCGACCTCGATGGCAATTTTAACATCTCGATCCTCGGCTCGGGCTTCGAGAACCGCTCGTCGTCGAGCGAGATCACCTGCCACCTGCGCGGCGGCCTCAACGCGGCGGCCCAGTCGCCCGGCGCCGACTTCCCGCGCGAGATCCCCGCCTTCGTCGAGTCCGACTCGGAGGTGCTCTGCGAGCTCCCGCCGTACGCGGTCAGTTTGGAAACGCGCGTCGAGGTCTGGGCGGACCACAGCAGCAACTTCTCCGAGGGCTCGTCGGCGAACTTCTCCTGGCGCCAGCTCGTCGAGGCGACGCCCGCGCGCCGCCCCTTCCTCACGACGGACACGAAGGAGCTCCTCGTCTGGGTCGACGCCGAGGCCGCGGCGGCGTTCGCGCCGACGGCGAAGGACCACTCCGTGGAGATCTGCCGGTCGACGCCCGAGTGGCGGTCCTGCGACGTCGTGCCCTTTGCGCGCGGCGGCGCCGCGGTCAAGCTCGATCTCGGCGTCGACGTCGGCGAGGTGAACGCGGACCTGGCCATCGACGCGACTTTTTTACCTTCCGAGACGAAGCTCGCGACGAAGAAACGGCGCCTCGTCGTCGTCAAGCCGCCGCCCGCGACCTACGCCGGCGCCTTTACGGTCGTCGACCACGCGCGCCGCGCCATCGCCGTGGACGGGAAGCCGTTTCTTTCGATGGGCTACTACTTCTACGGCCTCGTCGAGTACCAGCGCGGCGACGCCACTCTGGAACAGGCGCTCGAGGACGTCGCCACGCTCTCTTCCCTGGGCACGAACCACCTCGTCGCCTACGGAGCGGAGACGCTCAACGACGACGACCTCGGCGCCTTCGTCGCGGCCTGCGAGGCCCACGGCGTCATGTTCGATTTTAGTCTCGTCTGGAAGGTCATCCCGGTGCTCAACGCGACGACGGGCGGCAACACGACGGAGAAGTGGGCGAATCTCACAAAGTCCGCGGACCGCGTGCGGAATTCGCCGTCCCTCGTCGGCTATTATACCTGTGATGATTGCGACAACGGCGCGCTCTACACGTCCGCGGGCCTGGCCGAGGTCTACGACCAATTGAAGCTCCGCGACCCTTACCACCTACACTTCGGCGCGGACTGGAGCCAGCCCTGGGCGAACTACGCCTGGTCCGAGGCCGTCGGCGCCAGCGTCGAGCGACAGGAGTGTTTTTTCGCGTGAATTTCGCCTGAAGATGTGAAGAAATCCGAACCCGTCGCACTTGTTAGGTCGGCGCTTTGGGCTTCGACGTCGCGCAGGTCGAGAACTACAAGCCCGACCCGAAGCAGCTGCTAAACGACGCGCGGAACCGCGACGGCATGCGCTTCGAGCCGTTGATCAACTCGCCGGGCATGTACCTCATGGGCCCCGCTCCGTTACCGCCGAACGCGACGACCTCGGGCTACCCCGCGGTGCTGGAGGCGACGCAGGGCTGGATGTCGACGATGACCTACGACGCCCCGGGCCAGCTCAACTTCCTCTACGAGACGCGGTCGAACGCGACGGACGCCTACTCCAAGGGCCGCGGCTCGCCCATGGACCACGTCGAGGCCCAGGGCGAGTTCGCGGCGGCGGCGACGAAGCTCTTCGACGCCGGCATCTTGCTGCCCGACGTCACCTACGACGACACGGACCTTCCCGTGACCTTCCCCGACCGCGTCCTCGCGCGCGGCTACAGGCGCCACGCGGCGGCCGGCGCGCCGTTCTGCGCCTACGTCGTCGTCGCGAACCTCGAGCCGACGCCCTCGACCTACGCGCTCGCCTTCGCGGAGGGCGTCCTCCCCGACGCCGCCAAGGTCGCCTACCACGAGTTCCGCGCGACCTACAACGTCACCGTCGCCCGCGGAGACGACGGCGCCGCGACGATCGACGACGTCCTCACGGGCTTTGGGTCCGCGCTGTACCGCCTCGGGGACTGCTAGGGCCGCCGGAAGAAGAGCCTAAGAAGGCCTCTAAGAAGGTAAGTATCCACTTCACCTTATGAGGTCATCGATCGAGTTTCGGCGGCCGGGAGCTCCGGGTTTTTCGATCGATAGGGGTCCGCGCGCCGCGCCGCCACCGTAACACCATGGACGACGCGACGTCCATCGCGACGTCGGACAACCGGTCGTCGGTGGGCGCGCAGTCCGTGCTGGCGCGGGACTGGACGGTGACGGCCCACGAGGTGTGCTACGCGACGGGCGAAGGGAAGCTGCTCCTCGACGAGGTGACGGCCGTGATCCCCGGGTCGTCGGCCTGCGCGCTCGTGGGCCCGTCCGTCGCGGACAAGGGCGCGCTGCTGCGGCTGCTCGGCGGCGCGGCGCGCGGCGGCTACTTCTCCGGCCGCGTCGCGTTCGGCGGCCAGCCGCACCACGAGGCGAGCCTGCTCTGCGTCTTCGCCGAGGCGCCGCCCGGCGGCGAGGGCGAGGCGCGGTCGTTGTTGGGCGGCGGCGGCGGCGGCCGCGTCGAGGGGTCGCTGTCGCCCGCCGAGGCCGTGGCCTTCGCCGCGGCGTTAAGGTTCGGCGCCGACGCGCCCGACGCGCGCGACCGCGGCGCGACGATGGCGCGCGCGCTGGGGCTCGACGACGCCGCGCGGCAGCGCGCCGCGGCGGCGAAGGGCCACCGCTTCGCGCGCGGCGCGGCGTCGCGCGCCGAGGCCGTCGTCGCGCGCGTCGCCGTCGCGGCGGTCCACGGGCCGCCGGTGATCTGCGTCGAGGACCCGTTCCGGGGCCTGGCGGGCGGCGAGTGTCTGGTCGTGGCGGGCGCCCTCGAGGCGCTCGCCGCGCGGGGCCACACGGTGATCGCGTCGCTGGACAGCGACGGCCTGTCCGAGGCCGCGTTCGAGGCCGCGTTCTCGCGGTCGGTCGTCCTGCGCAACGGCCGCGTGCTCTACTGCGGCGAGACGCGGCGGGCCGCGGCGCACTGCGCGCGCTGCTTCGCCGACGGCGACGGCGCGCGCTTCGGCCGTTTAGATGTTTTGGAGCGCGTCGGCGGCGACGCGCGGCTCGCGGCCGCGTGCGCGCGGTCGTTCGCGCGGACGCCCGAGTCGCGGCGCGCGGAGCAGGAGGCCGCGCACGTCGAGCCCCTCGACGAGGAGCGCGGCGCGCTCCACTGGCTGGCGCCGCCCGTCGTCGCGCCCGCCGCGCGGTTCCGGACGCTCGTGTACCGCGACCTCGCGCGCCACGGGCGGCCCTTCGGCGTCGCCGTCGCGGAGCGGCACGCGGGCGCGGTCGCGGTCGCGCTGCTCTGGGGCGTCGCCTTCTGGGACGTCGCGGCCGTCGGCGCGGACCACCTGAGCGCCTGGGCGCTGACGTCCGTGGCCTTCGCGTCGGGCAACGTCGTCGTCGCGGCCATGCTCGCGTCGGCGCCGCAGATCTGCCGCCGCCACGGCGACTTCGAGCGCGACCGCCGCGCGGGCAAGTACGGCGCCCTGGAGCACGTGGCGGCGCGGTCCGCGCTGCTCGTGCTCGAGTCCGCCTGCGTCGCCGTGGCGCCGACGGCGCTGTATCTGATGGCGGGCCTGCCGTTCGGGTGTTGCGCGTTCGTCTACGCGCTGGGAGCATTGCTCGCGTTCGCCTGCGGCTGCTGCATCGAGGCGCTGGCGGCCTGGGCCCACAGCCCGCCGCCCGCGGACGCGCGCGGCGGCGGCGGCGGCGACTTCGCGCCGGACCGCGCCGCGGCCGCGGCCGCGGATCGCGTCGCGTGCGGCGCCTTCGGCGCGCTCGCGTCGTGCATGGTGCTGTCGACGGGCTTCGGCGTGGAGCTGAACGACTTCCGGAGGGGCAACCCCTTCTTCTGGCACGCGCGGGCGAACCACCTGCGCTGGTACGTGCAGGGCGTCGCGCTGCGGGTCCGCGCGTCGTCGCGGTACCACGACGGCGGCGTCGACGCCGCCGCGGGCGGCTGGCGGCGCTACGCCGCCGTCGACTCGCTCTGGGCGCTGCTGGCGCTGGCCGCGGCGGCGCGGCTCGCGTCCTACTACTACCTGACGCTCCGGCCGCCGTCCGCGCGCCACGTCGACGCGAAGAAGCTGGCGACGTGGGCGACGCGGCCAAAGCTCGACGCGGACGACGCCGCGGAGGCGCTCGACGCCGCGGCGAAGAACCCGCTGGGCCTCGCGCGCGACAAGGGCGCCGTCGCCGTGCCGCCGCGCGTCGCGCCGGAGCGGTCCAACGAGCGGTCCGCGCGCGCGTTCTCGCGATCCGTCGACGCCGCGCCCGTGTCGCTCGCCGCGGACGGCGTCACGGTCGCCTGCTGCGCCGACGGGGCGGACCTGAAAACGCCCCCGCGCAAGGCTTTGGTGCTCGAGGACCTGTCCCTCGCCGTCGCGCCGCGCGAGGCCGTCCTCGTCGCGGCGGACGACCCGCTCGGCCCGCGGTGCCTCCTCCGGGTCTTCGCGGCGCGCGACGCGCGCAAGTCGCGGGGCCACGTCGTCGCCGCCGCGGGCCGCGTCGCCGTCAACGGCGCGCCGCGGCCCCGCGACTGGCGGAGCCGCTGCGCGTTCCTCGCCGCGGGCGACGCGCGGTGCGACGGCTTCCTGAGCCTCTCGGCGCGCGAGACCGTCGCGCTGGCCCTGGGCCTCGCCCACGGCCGCGCCGTCGACGCCTCTGCGCGGGCCGAGGACGCCGGCGCGGAGCCGCTGGCGGGCTACCGCGCGCGGACGCCCGAGGGCGCGCTCGCGCCGCCGCCGACGGCGGCCGCGGCGGCCGCGTGGCTCGACGTCGTCCTCGACGTCGCGGGCGTCGCCCGGCAGGCCCAGCTCGGCCCCGTCGCCTACGGCGGCGGCGGCGACGAGTCGCCGGCGCTCCACCGGCGCCGCGTGGCGCTCGCGTGCGAGCTCGCGCGCGCGCCCGTCGTCGTCTTGGTCGACGACCTGACGGGCGGCGCGCGGTCGCCGGCCTGCGGCGCGCGCGACGCCTGCGCGCCGCGGGACGCGGCGGCCCTCGCTCGGACCTACGCGCACCTCGCGCAGCTCGGCTGCACGGTCGTCGCGACGGCCCACGGCGCGCCGCGCGACGTCGTCCTCGCGTTCGACCGCGTCGCGCTCCTCCGGGGGCCCCGCCTGGCCTACGACGGCCCGCCGCGGCCCGTCTTCGACGCGCTCGCCTCCGCGGCGACGCGGCCGGGGCTGGCCGACGCCGCGCGCGTGTCGCGGGACGCGACGCTCCGGCCGCTCGACGCCGCGCTCGAGAACGACCTCAAGTTGCTGGCGGCGCCGGCATCCGCGGGTCCCGGCGGGCCCCTGAAGACGCCGGAGGAGGCGGAGCCCATGGGCGCCGCGGCGATCCTGCGCCCGACGTTCCGCGTGGGGGTCCTGGCGCAGGCGGCCGCGCTGCTCCGGCGCGATCTGGCCGCGGCGCGCGCGGACCGCGGCATGCTCGGCGCGGCCATCGGCGCGCCCCTGGCGAACGCGGCGCTGCTGTGCGGCGCCTTCTGGGGCCAGGGCCACGACGACGCGCGCAGCGTGCTCTGGCTGAACTACTGCCTCCTGGCGGCGTTCGCGACGCCCGCGGCGCTCCAGTTCCCGCGGCACGCGGCGCTCGCGCGCGCGTTCGAGCACGAGCGCGCGGCGGGCCTCGTGGGCGCGCCGGCCTTCTTCCTCGCGAGTTTGGCGGCGCCGCTGCCGTTGACGCTGCTGCGGGCGTTGTTGGTCGTGCCCGTCGTCTACGCGGCGGCGAACTTCGTGGTCGACGGCGCGGCCGTCGCCGTCGCCGTGCTCGCGTGCGGCGCGGCGGGGCTCGCGGCCCAGGCGCTGGCGCTGGCCTGCTGCTGGGCCTACGTGGCGCAGACGAACGCGTCGGCGCTGGGGCTGGGGGCGCCGGACGCCGCGCGGCGCCGCGCGCTCGCGATCGCGCGCGCGGGCGACGCCGCGGCGCTCCTCGCGCTCTCCTTCCTCATGTACTGCGGCTTCTTCCGCTTCGTCCGCGACCTCGACGCCGGCTGGCGCGGCGCCGCCGACGCCGACTTCGCGCGCTGGCTCCTCCAGGCCATGTCCACGCCGCAGCTCCGCGACAAGGCCGCGCCGGGCCGCTACGAGACCGACGGCGGCGCGAACTTCTACGCCGACGCGCGGCGCTTCGTCGGCTACAGCCACGGCACGACGGCCGACGGGGCCCTGCTCAGCGGCGTCGTCTACGGGCCCGTGGTGCTCACGGCCGTCGCCCTGCTCGGGCTCTTCCGCCTGCTGTATGTCCAGCGGCACTGAGTTCTCTCTTTAAGAGCTGCCTTTCATTCTGAGCCTCGGAGGCATTAGGTCCCATTTGAGAGCTACCTTTCATTTCGACGGGATCAGTAGCACAGGTGCAGCGGGATTAGTCGACGTCTTCGCAGCGGCGCGGCCGCGTCTGGCGGCCGCGGTCGGCAGCGGGGAGGGGCGAATGTCGCGGTCGCGTCTAGCGGCCGCGTTCGCAAGCGGAGGAAGCGGCGGGCGTTCACCGGTAGCAGAAGCGGAGGGCGAGGTAGGAGGGCACGTGGAAGACGGAGCAGTAGGCGAGCATCATGAGCGTGTCGCCGAGGACGCCGCCCTCGCGCCGGTAGCCTATCATCTCCTTGGCGAAGTCCGCGCCGTGCTGGACGCGCTCGAGGAGGTCGTACGGGTATCTGAACGTCGACAGCCACGAGACCCACTTGAACGTCGGGTTCATGCCGTTGGGCGACACCGGGAACCCGCTCCCGATGAAGCCCGAGATGAAGAAGAAGGACGCCACAACAAAAGCGACGTCCACCGACGGCGACACGGCGACGGAGAAGACGAGGATCTGCGAGTACAAGATGGCGACGCCGGACGCCACGAGCCCGTAGACGACGATCCCGGGCCAGGACGTGTCCGCGTTGAGGTTCGCCAGGTGCGCGTAGAGCATGGCGATGGGCATGTTGACGACGAAGACGAGCGTGAGCTCCACGGACATGTAGGCCGCGTAGTACGCGGCGACGGAGTAGTAGCGCTGCGCGGACTCGCGAATAAAGAACTGTCGGTCGTACATGAGGCAGCCGATGGGCACGTAGGCGATGAGCGCGGGGAACACGAGGAAGGCGAGGCTCGCGCCGCGGTACCACACGTAGTCCGCGTACTTGTCGAGGCCGTCGGGCGACGCGAGGCCCTTGACGCTCGGCGCGCGGTGCTGGCGGCCCCAGACGCCCGCGGCGAGGAGGCAGACGATGAAGGTGAGCAGCGCCTTGGAGACCAGGTTGCCCGGGTGCCGCGTGTGGCCGCGGAGCACGCGCCTCACTAACGTCTCGTACTGGAGCCAGAAGCCCGCGCCCGTCGGCGGCGCGTCCGGCGGCGCGCCCGCGGCCTCGACGGCCTTGACCTTGGTCCCCTTCGTCCGCTGGTCCTCGTCGAAGGCCGCCGCGGCCGTCGCGACGTCGCCGGCGTCGCGGATCGTCGTCGCGCCGAAGATCTCCGCGGGCTTCTCGAAGTCGACGGCGATGAGGTCGAGGATGACGTCCGCCGGGTTCCCCTCCGTGCCGCTGCCGCCGCTGAGGAAGCCCAGCGACTTGAACCAGGGCACGGCGCCGCCCGTCTTGCCGCTGTAGAGCACCTTGCCCGCGCTCAGGAAGTAGACCTGGTCGAACATGGCCCAGATCGCCGCGCGCGGCTGGTGGATCGTGCAGCAGACGCCGAGCTTCGTCACCGTCGCGAGGCTCGCGAGGAGCTCCATGACGTGGAGCGTCGACGCCGCGTCGAGGCCCGACGTCGGCTCGTCGGCGAACAAGAGCCGCGGCCGCGACACCAAGCCCGCGGCGAGGGACAGGCGCCGCCGCTGGCCGCCGCTGAGGCCCCGGATGCTCAGGCCGCCCGCGAGGACGCCGCCGACGTAGACGTGCTCGACGTGGCCCATGCCGACCTCGCCCAGCAGCGTCCGGCAGCGCTCGGCGACGTCGGCGTCGCTCTCGCGCCGCGGCAGGCGCAGCCGCGCGACGAACGTCAGGCTCTCCAAAGCCGTCATGTGGGGCATGAAGACGTCCTCCTGCGGCACGTAGCTCGACATGGCCCACACGATCTCCTCGCTGAACGCGTGGCCCTCGACGAGCACGTCGCCCTCGCGCGTGCCGGCGCCGAGGCGCCCCGTGAGAAGGTCCAGCAGCGTCGTCTTGCCCGCGCCGGACGGCCCCATGAGCGCGAGGAACTCGCCCTTGCCCACGGCGCCGGACGCGCGGTCGACGGCCACCTTGTCGCCGAAGCGGATCGACAGCTCGGACCACTCGAGGAGCGCGCGGTTGGCCTCCTCGTCGTCGCTGTCGTGCTTCGAGAACGACGCGCCCCGGTGGAAGCTCCGCCGGCCGAGGGGCGTCACGAGCGTCTCGCCCTCGGCGCCGTAGCTATGCTTGCGGCTGGGGTCGAGGAGCGGCTCCGCGAGCGTCACGGACCGCGCGCTATCCGACTTGGCGCTCATGGACTTCTTCGTCGGCGTCAGGAACGCCTCCATCGCCGCGAGTGGACTTCGGAGGCAGCCAGATCGTAGCCGGTCCTCCAGGAAGGCACACGATTTCGATTCTTGAAGGACCCCTGGGGTGATGTCATTCATCAATTTCGGTTTGTTGAAGCTGTGACCGGGGGTAAACAACACGCAACTTACGCGTCCTCCCCCGGCGCGGACTTGGACTCGGCGCCGTCGTCCTTCGAGGAGGATGCGGGAGGGGACGCGTCCTCGGTGCGCCCCGCCAGCCGCTCCGCGAGGGCCACCGCCATGCCCACGGCCGCGCCGAGGCCCGTGTTCGAAAAGGCGACCGTCGCGGCCGCGGCCGCGAGGCACGGCGTCTCCGCGCCGTCGAGGACGCCCGTGCTCGCCAACTGGGCGCCGGCGACGACGAGGAGCGCGCCGAGCGCGGACGTCGGGAACGCGCGGATTGCGCGGAAAAGAAGCCGGTCCCCCAAAACCAGCGCGGTGGCCATCTTGAGCCAGCCGAGGACCCAGATGGACGCGCCGCCGCGCGCGCCGAACTTGTACTGCCCCGCGAGACCTCCGGCGCCGTGGCACGCCGGCGCGCCGCCGAACCAGCAGCAGAAAACGTTCATCAGGCCGACGGACGTCGCGACGGATTTGCGCGTCGGCGCCTCGTCTTTTCGCTTGTCCGGGAACAGCTTCTCGCTCAGCGCCGTCACGGAGATGACCGAATTGAGCGTCGTCAACGGCAGCTGGGGCAGCCCCGCGCGGAGCACGCCCCGCGCCCACTCGGCGCGCGTCGGCGCGCGAAACGCCACCGCGAGGCGGCCCGGCCGCCAGTCGTCCAACGACGCGCCCAACGTGCCCCGCGCGCCCGCGTCCGCGACCGCCAACACCAGACCCGCGGCCACGAGGAGCACGGCGACGGGCACGCGGCCGCCGCGCTTCAGAGCGCCCGCCGCCGCGAGGCTCAGCAGCCCGCCGGCGACGGGGCCGTCCACGGCGGCCCAGCCCGGCCCGGCGATCATCCGCAGCGCGAGGCCCATCATGCGGAACCCGAGGCCCAGCTGGATGCCCGAGACGACGCTCCGCGGCACGAGCCGATTCACGGCCTCGATCGTGCCCGTCGCGCCCAGGAGCAGCACCGCGGCGCCGACGAAGATGCCCGCGGCGGACACCGCGCCCGCCGACAATCCGTCGGCGATCGCCGCCGCGGCGACGGTCTTCATGGGCTGCACGGGCATGGGCACGTCCCAGGCGTAGGCGCTCGCGACGTTGCCCGCGCCCATCCAGAACAGCGCCGCGCCCGGCGCGATGCTGCCTCTTTCGGCCATGGCCAGCACGAGCGGCAGCAACGTGCCGAGGTCGCCGAGCATGCCGCTGCACTCCTGCAGGTTCCAGGCGGCGCGGAACGACGCGTGGCGGCGCGCGATGAAGGCTTGGAGGTCGCGCATGGTATCGACGCGAGACGCGGCGCTCGTCGACGCTGCGGCGCGCGGCGCGCGGCTGCGCACGCTGCACAATAGGGCCGAGACGCGGCGCTCGTCGACGCTGCGGCGCGCGGCGCGCGGCTGCGGCACGCCGCACAATAGGGCCGAGACGCGGCGCTCGTCGACGCTGCGGCGCGCGGCGCGGCTGCGCACGCTGCAATAGGGCCCTGCACCTCGTGGGTTGCTGTTGTTGCGGCGGCAAATGCCACAAACTTTTTGGTTGCACAAGATTTGCACAGATGATCTACAGATGTTGCACCGCCCGGACGCGATGTTGGCGTGACAGGCGCGCAACCCGGACGGACGCAGTCGGGCGCGCATCCCCTTCAATAACTTGGTCAACCATGCTCGAACACCTCGCGTACCAAGCGCTCGCAATCACGGCGACCGCCACGGCCGTCTGGCTCGCCGTCGGCGAAAGCGCGGCGCCCGGCGGCCCCGTCTTCGCCCTGGAGTGCGTCTTCGTCTGCGGCGTCGCCGGCGGCCGCGCCATCGAGGCGGTCAAGGCGTCGAGCGGCGTGCCGCTGCCGCCGCTGCTGGGCATGCTCGTCGCGGGCCTGCTGCTGCGCAACGTGCCCGGCCCGCGCGCCGCGATCGGCGAGGCCGTCGACGGCGGGAGCAGCGCGTCGATTCGGACGGCCGCGCTCGCGCTCATCATGGCGCGCGCGGGCCTGGGCCTGGACCTCCAGGCCCTGACGCGCCTGAGGTGGGCCGCCGCGCGCCTCGCGAGCGCGCCCTGCCTCGCGGAGGCGGGCTTCGTCGCGCTCGCGAGCTCGCGGTCGTGGGTCTTCGGGCTGCCCGGCGCGTGGGCCGCGCTGCTGGGGTTCGTGGTCGCCGCCGTGTCGCCGGCCGTCGTCGTGCCGTCGCTCCTCGACCTCCAGAGGCGGGGCTACGGCACGACGACGGGCATCCCGACGCTCGTCGTCGCGTCGGCGGCGCTCGACGACGTCCTGGCGCTCGCGGGCTTCGGCGTGTCCCTGAGCTTCGCCGTCACGGGCGCGGCGAAGGGGGGCGTGCTGCCGGACGCGCTCTGGGCCGACGCCCTGCGCGCGCCCCTCGAGCTCGCGCTCGGCGTCGCCGTCGCGGTCGCCGGCGCCGGGGTCTTGCGGTTCGCCGAGCGCCGCGAGCTGTTGCGACCGGACCCGACGGACCGCGCGGCGGCGCTGGTCGTCGTGTCCCTGCTCGCGACCTTTTCGCTGAAGCGCGCGGGCTTCTCCGGCGCGAGCGCCCTCGCGACGCTCGCGCTCGCGGCCCGCGCCGCGGCGGCGTGGGGCGGCGGCGCGGGCGCCGTCGGCGCCGTCCTCGGGAACTTGTGGAACGCGCTGGCCCAGCCGCTGCTCTTCGCCCTGCTCGGCGTCGCCGTGGACCTGGGCGCGGTCCAGGGCCGCACGGCGGGCCTCGCCGTCGCGCTCATCGCCGCGAGCGGCGCCGTGCGCGTCTGCGCGACGTCGCTCGCGGTCGCGGGCTTCGGCCTCTCAAAGCCCGAGCGGCTCTTCGTCGCCCTCGCCTGGCTGCCCAAGGCCACGGTCCAGGCCGCCGTCGGCGCCGTGGCCCTCGACGCCGCGCAGTCCGACGGCGCGGAGGACCGCGCGCGCGTCGTCCTCACCGTCGCCGTCCTCGCGATCGTGCTCACCGCGCCGCTCGGCGCGGCCCTCATCGCCGTCTTCGGGCCCCGGCTGTTGACCCACGACGGCGCGGCAGACGGCGCGGAGAACGGCGCCGCGGAGGCGAAGGAGCTCGTCGCCGTCGGCGACGCGCCGCCCGAGGGCGTCTAGTAGTAAGAGGACGGAGGACAAGGCTAGGACAGGCCTGGGGACGTCATCCATCGCGTCGACCGGTCGCCGGCGCGCCGCGTGTCGCAGCAGGCTCCTGTGGCAGCTCGAGCGGAGCGCTTCGACGCGATGGGTTTCAACGCCGCGGTGTTCGCGGTCGTCGTCGCCGCGCGGGCGTGCGGCGCCGTCACCTACCTGCCCGGCGTCGCGCCGCGGAGCTACGCGCCCGAGGAAGGATTAAAGCTCTACGTGAACAAGCTCACGTCGACGCACACGCAGGTGCGCTTCGCGCGCGGGGGCCGTCCGGGCGCGTCGCGCCGCCGCCGCCGCCCGCCGCGCGCGCGCCGGCTTTCCGCGCGCGCGATACATCGCGTCGCCGGGGCGATCGCGCGCGCGCGCGCGCCGCGCCGACCGCCGCGGTCTTCGCAGATCCCGTACGACTACTACAGCCTGCCCTTCTGCCACCCGAAGATCAAGGAGGTCACGGAGAACATCGGCGAGCGGCTCGCCGGCGACCGCATCGAGAACTCGCTCTACAAGCTCAGCGTGCTCCGCCAGCAGCCGTGCAAGATCGTCTGCCGGAAGTCGATCACCAAGGCCGGCGCGCGCCAGTTCGCGTCGGCCATCGACGACGACTACCGCGTGCACTGGATCGTCGACAACCTGCCGGCGTCGACGCTCCTGACGAACAAGGCCGCGCCGTCCCAGCCCTACCACGTCCGCGGCTTCCCCGTCGGCTTCAAGCTGGCCGGGTCCGCGGGCAAGGCCGAGCACTACCTCTTCAACCACGTCAAGATCATCGTCGCCGTGCACCGCGCGGGCGAGTCCGCCGGCGGCGGCGACGAGGAGCGCGTGCGCGTCGTCGGCTTCCGCGTCGAGCCCTACAGCATCGCGCACGGCTACGACAAGGACGCCAAGTTCTCGACCAAGGACACGGAGCTGACGACGTGCTCCGCGACGCGGCCGGCGACGAACGACCCGTCCAACTACCAGCGCGTCGACGGCGCGGGCGAGGTCGTCTTCACCTACGACGTCGAGTGGGAGGACAGCGCGACGCCGTGGGCGAACCGCTGGGACGTCTTCCTCCAGGGCAACCCGGACGACAAGATCCACTGGTTCTCCATCACGAACTCGACGATGATCGTCGTCTTCCTCACGGTCATGGTCGCCATGATCCTCGTGCGCACGCTCTCCCAGGACATCGCCCAGTACAACGACACGGCGCTTTTAGACGAGGCCAAGGAGGAGAGCGGCTGGAAGCTCGTCCACGCGGACGTCTTCCGGCCGCCGCGGGTCTCGCCCATGCTCTTCTCCGTGTGCATCGGCACGGGCGTGCAGCTCGCGCTCATGGTGCTCTTCACGCTCACCTTCGCGCTCTTTGGCTTCCTCTCGCCCGCGAACCGCGGGTCGCTCATCACCGCGCTGCTCATGCTCTACGTCTTCATGGGCAGCGCGGGCGGCTACGCGGCGTCGCGCGTCTACAAGACCTTCAAGGGGTCGGACTGGATGACGAACACGCTGCTCACGGCGCTCGCGTTCCCGGGCTTCGTGTTCGGCGCGTTCCTCGTCATCGACATGTCCCTGCTCGCCGTGGGCTCGTCGGGCGCGGTGCCCCTGACGACGCTGCTGACGCTCGTCGTGCTCTGGTTCGGCGTGTCCGTGCCGTTGGTCTTCGGCGGCGCCTACTGCGGCTTCAAGAAGGACGTCGAGCCGCACCCGGTGCGGACGAACCAGATCCCGCGCCTCGTGCCGCCGCAGCCCTGGTACATGAACGCGGCGCTCACGACGACCTTCGGGGGCATCCTGCCCTTCGGGGCCGTGTCCGTGGAGCTCTTTTTCATCATGTCGGCGATCTGGCTCCACCAGATCTACTACATCTTCGGCTTCCTCTTCCTCGTCATGATCATCCTCGTCGCGACGTGCGCGGAGATCACGATCCTCCTCTGCTACTTCCAGCTCTGCAACGAGGACTACAACTGGTGGTGGCGCTCCGTGCTCTCGTCGGGCGCCTGCGCGGGCTACGTGCTCCTCTACGCCGTCTGGTACTACGTCTTCGAGCTCGAGATCACGGGCGTCGTGCCCTCGACGCTCTACTTCGGCTACATGATATTGATCAGCCTCTCCTTCTTCCTCATCACGGGCGCCATCGGCTTCTACGCGTGCTTCTGGTTCGTCAACAAGATCTACGGCTCCATCAAGGTCGATTAGGCGCGCGCGCCGACGCGCCTAAAGCCCCGTGACGACCGACGCGCTTACAGCCCCGTGACGACGCGCAATGGGCTCCGGTGCCGGTGGCGCCGCGGGCTCACCTGGGACCCGTCCATCATGGACCCGCGGCCGCGGCGCGGCGGCGGCGCGGGCGGCTTCTCGCGCCGCGCGGCGGCCCGGTCGCGCTTGTCCTCGACCTGGCGCTTCGCGAGGCCGTTGGCGAGCGCGGCCTCGCGGCGCGCCTCCTGCGACGGGCTCAGCGCCGGGCAGCTCCGGTAGGGCGCCTCCGTCGCGTTCGGCGCCGCGGCGTAGGCCGCGTCCGCGGCTGCGGCGTCGGGCACGTAGCGCTCGTACCAGGGCCAGAGGAAGGGGTACCAGTCGCGCGGCCTCGAGAGGAGGAAGAGGTAGTCGACGAAGCGGCACTCCTCGGGCGACCCGTGGCGGCCCTGCGCGCGCGCGTCCGTCGCGTTCGGCGCGCCGAGGGCCTTGCGGACGAGCTCCGGGTCGTAGTTCAGCAGGTGGCCGACGCGCTCCGTGGCCCAGTAGTAGGCCGTCGCCGTTGTTCGCGCCACGAGGTCCTCGTAGGCCACCACCGCCACCGGCACGCCCGCGTGCTTCGCCGCGCGGACCTGGCCGTCGAGGAGCCCGAGCGCCGCGTAGAGCGCGTGCGTCGACGTGGCGAAGTCGTGCTCTCGCACGTGGCGCCGGAAGTGGGACGACGTCACGGCCGCGAGGGGGTCGCGCGCCATGACGACGGCGCGCGCGCGGACGTCCGACGCGGCGAGCTCTCGCGCGAGCCGCGGGAAGTCCGGCGACGTGAAGAGCGTCCCGTAGGCGTCCTCACGCGGGTCCCGCGCCCCGCAGGGGTAGGAACAGCCCGCCGCGTGGAGCGCGCCGCTCCGGACCCACGCGCGCCGCGTCTCGGCCGTCGCGTTGAGGCGGCAGCTCGCGCCCGCGGCGCAGCCCGCGCCGTCGCAGGCGCCGGGGGCCCTGGGCCGGCTGAGCTGGAGGAAGCAGAGCTTGACGCGGTGCTGGAGCCCGTCGAGCGCCTTGGCGCCGGCCTCCGACGCGCCCAGCGGCTCCAGCGCGGCGAGCGCGCCGCCGAGAGCGCTCCAGAAGTGGTGGCCCGTGCCCTCCATGCCGAGGATGAAGAAGTAGGTCGGCATGCCGGCGCTCGGCTTTGGCACGAAGTGCAGGCCGACGGGGCTAGCGCTGCCGCAGAGGCACGCGAGCCAGGCGAGGCCCCGGGCAGCCATCATGATCGAGCTGCCCAAACGATTCAATACGTGTTCAAGAACACAACATTTACATCTTGGACTTCGTCGCCTGGAGGAGGTGGGCGGCGCCGCGGAAGCCCATGGCGTGGACCTTCGCGAGGCAGTCCGCCGGGAGCGGGACGAGGTACTCGGGCTTCCGCATGAGGCCGAGCGTGTCCTCGCCCTGGTGCGCGAACGCGCGCGGCGCGACGGCCGCGAGGGCATCGTTCCGGACGAAGTACATGTCCGGCAGGCCCGCGTGGACCAGCGTGTAGTTGAGCGCAACTCCTAGGCGCTCCATGGCGCGCGCCGTCGCGGAGTGCGTCGCGACCTGGCGCCCGCCGCAATCGAAGCCGTCGCCGAAGTGCGACGCGCGCGCCGCGTCCTCGACGACGAGCGGCGACACCAAGTCGTCCGGGTAGTTGTACACGGCCTCGATGACGACGACGCGGGGCCGGTAGGCTGCGGCAAGGGCTCTCCACACGTGCCAGTCCTGGTCGTCGATGTCCACGGAGAGCAGATCGAAGGTCTCGGGCACGCCGTGGCTCCGGAAGATCTCGACGGCGTTGTGCGCGCCGATGACCGCCTTCGACAGGCCGATGGACGCGTTCTCGCGCCGGCCGTCCAGGAGCACGCCGCGCCAGCCGCAGCGCTCGCGCAGCCAGCGCGTGTTCGTGACGCAGCCCCGCTGCGACCCGAACTCGACGTAGTACTTGTCCGTCGCGCCGAGCGTCTCGAAGGCCGCCCACAGCAGACCGTCGGCGCCGTGCTGGCTGAAGCCGCGCGCGCTGTAGGCGTTGAGGTCGACGACTCGCTGCGCTTTGGGGCTGCCCAGGAAGTGGTCGCATCGTTCGGGCAGCTCCGTGTCCTGCGCCAGGTCCCAGCATCGTACGTCGTCGCCGTTGATGCGGCCGCCGGGGTGGCCTTTGGGGAGGGCCTGCTGGAAATTCGGAGGCAACGCGAGCGCCGTCGGCAGCACGACGGCGAGCGCGAGGAATGCGGCCATCGGATCGATGCGTTGCCAAGCGAAAGTTTCCGACAACATGAGCCTCAATAAGACGGGTATGGCATCTTGAGCTATGTTTGAGCTCGTTATGAGCCTCAGTTAGACGGGCATGGGCTGCCCAACGATGCGATGAGACTCGCCGCACTCGTGCTCGTCGTCCTCGGCGTCGTCGCGCAGGATGCCGCGCCGGAGACCGCGGCTGCGCGGAAGGAGCGGTTCCACCAGCAGCGCCTGGCCTGGCGCAAGGCGGAGAAGGAGCTTCGCGTAACAAAACCGGAACTCTTCAAACCGGCGCCGACGAAGGCGCCGGTGACGGCGACGCCGTCGCGGCGGCCGACGCCGCGGCCGAGCCCCGCGCCGACGCCGAAGCCGACGCCGAAGCCGACGCCGACGCCCGAGCCGAGCACGACGCCGAAGCCGTCGACGACGCGCGCGCCGTCGCCCCGGGGCGGCGAGCGCGTCGCGCTCTGCATCGTCGGCGAGTACCGCACGTTCGCGATGCCCTTCGTGCACGGCTCGCTCCGCAAGTACCTCGTCGGGCCGTGGGACGCGGACGTCTTCTTCGTCTACCACGAGGCGTACAAGGCCGGGTCCATGGCGCGGCAGCAGCACCACCGCGAGGGCGCGTCGGCCTGCGACTTCGACCCCGCGAGCCTGGAGGCCATGAAGCCCTACCTGAAGATGGTGCACAAGTACGCCAAGCCCGACAACTGCACGGTCACGGGCAGCCAGTGGCGCCAGGTGCGCACGTGCTTCGACATGGCCTTGAGGTACGGGAAGCACCACGGGAGGAACTACACGATCTACGCGCGGACGCGGCCCGACTACGCGCTCTTCGACTACGTGTACGACGCGGAGACCGTGTCGCGCGACGGCATCGACGCGACGGTCAAGAAGAGCGACATCTTCTTCGCCATGCGGCCGGAGACTTTGCGCCACTTCCTCCACGCGGGCGACACCCACGTCCCCTGCGGCGACCCGCGCTGCTGCCTGGAGATGCGCGAGCCCTTCCACCGGGGCGGCGAGTCGCACACGGTGTCGCGGACGCCGGAGCTCAGGGGCGGCCTCGTCCGCAACGACCACTGGATGACGACCTGGCCCGCGGACGGCTGGTACAAGCGCCCCTTCACGAAGGAGGAGCTCGACGCGGGCCTGAAGTGCGACCTCGTCCACCGGCCGGCCTACGACACGCTCCGCGCGGGGTGCATCGGGGCCTGGTGCCGCCGCGGGAGGTAACGGCGCCGATTACGCTAATCACGCGGCGGGCCGGACGATGGCGGCGAGGCTGGGCAGGGTCGTCGCCGCGGGAGGTAACGGCGCCGATTACGCGGCGGGCCGGACCGTCGGCGGCGAGGCGGGGCAGGGTCGTCGCCGCGGGAGGTAGCAGCGTCGATTACGCGGCGGGCCGGACGTCGGCGGCGAGGCGGGGCAGGGTCGTCGGAGGGCGGGGGGGCGGCGGCGCGCCGGGGGGCCTTGGGGCCGGCGCGGGCCGCGGGCGCCGGGGGGCCTACCAGGCCTCTCGTCGCGAGTTCGGCGACGCGTCGTAGGCGAGGGGCTCGGCGTCGCGGGACCGGCGGCTGCCGGACGCCGGCGGCTGCTTCTTGTAGGACGGGGGCGCGTAGTCGTCGTCGTAGTCGCGCGCGGGCGGCGGGCCCCGGCGGTGCGGGTAGCGGTCGAACTCCTCGCTGTAGGACTGCTCCTCGTCGGGGAAGCGGTCGCGGCGGGAGGAGTCGCGCACATCGTCGCCGTCGTCGAAGCCCCGCGGCGGCGTCCGCGGGTACGCGCCGCCGCGCGGCGCGGGCCGGCGGCTCCGGTCCTCCTCGAAGCTCCGGTCGGGCCGCCGCTCCTCCTTCGTCTCCTCGAAGCTCGCGGGGTAGCGGTCGGGCTTCGTCCAGCCGTCGTTGGTGATGCGGCTGAGGCCGCCGGACTCGCGGCGCGCGGGCCAGTCGGGCTCGCGGCCGCCGCGCGCGCGGCCGAGGCCGCCGGCGCCGGCGCCGCGCGGCTTCCGCCGGCCCTCGTCGTCGAGCGCGCTGTCGCGGTCCTCGCGGAACCGCTCCGCGTGCTTCGGCGCCTTCTTCGGCTCGTCGCGGGCCGGCTTCTTCTCGCGGGGCGCGGGCTTGGCCGCGGCCTCGCGCTTCGCCTCGGGCGCGGCGGCCGCGGGCGCCGCCGCGCCCGCGGCCGCGGCGCCCTGCCGCGGCGTCTGGACGACGAC